GGGGGGGGGGGCTCACCGCCAGGCTTATTTATAGATCTGGGATAAGGCGAGGCGGGGACGCGGCGATCCATCACCGCACTTTTTAATTGCTTGTGTTCGCGGCGTTTTTTATGGTTCTTCTTTTTCACGTCCATTGATTTCCCTCGTGTTGCAACTCGGGAAGCTGTGAATGATGAATGGTCGTCCTCACAATTAAGCCATTAAGGCAGCACAGCCTTACAGTAATATGAAGATATACGAGAGCGCCGGTCCCGAGTGGAAAAGTTGCGGGCGTTTGTTCTTCAGTTTTCCTCTGTGACGATCGTCCAAAGACCCCGAGTGGGCCTGACTCACGGTCGGCGCCACGTCCTTCCCAAACGCGGTCGGGGTTCGCTTCACTCCTGGCATCTGCTCCTGAGAGACTCTCAGTTATTTTAAAACATCTCACTAATGCAAACCCCATTTGTGTTTAATTCCTAAAAATTAAAGAGCATTTCCTAGGGCTCCGTAAGCACTTCGGGGTTACTTGGGACCCTCATCATTTCGTTAGTCGGGGAACAGGAAGGAAAAGAGTTTTGTTCGTTTCACCCCCGATGTGGTTTTGTTCATGAATTTTCACGTTTCCCCCCAACTGGACTCGCCTGGTTTCACCCTCATGAGGCAGATCACTGATGCAGGAACACTCAGGAGCCTGCGCGGTGAACCAGCAGAGGCCCTGATTTGCGGGGCCTGAGGCGAGAGCTGGACGGAGGCCTTGATTTCGGTGTGTGAGGAACGGACGGTGGACGGGATCCCGCGGGACAGACAGACCCGCAGGCAGCGAGAGCGGGCGGAGAGGCGCGAACCCCGCGGCGCCCGGCCCCGTTCCCGCGAACATCGGCCCGTGGCTGGGCAGGAGCGTGTTCCCGGGGGACGCGTGTTCTTCCCGCGTGCAGTCGCGGCGCTCAGCCGCGGGATATGCATCTCCGTGCCATGCACCTGCGCAGTGCACACGCGAGAGGCCACGGCGTTCGCTTGAGACCCAGGAACAGCTCTTCCAGAAACCCGGGCTCAGGCAGAAGCCGGGGAGGAGGAGGAACGCGGGGTGCTGATGGGAAGGGGGGGGTGGTTCGGGCACGAGGGGGCCGTCTGTGTGCTCAGAGAAGCTGAGGGCCACTCGGAGCCTAAGCGGCGTCTTTAGTCTCCGGCCTGGTGGCCGTAACCGTTGTGTGGGCCCCGGTGCCGCCTTAGGCCCTGACCAGAGGCCGTTTCTCCGCCGGCCAACATTCCAGGGTGTGGACGGTGCCTCCGGCCGCGGCTCCGGCTCCCTGTCGCGAGGGCTCCGTTCGCAGTGTTTCCTCACGGCCCTGGGGTGCTTTGGGGCCGTGTCTGCGGAGTTCAGGTGACACGCAGAACGCGCGGTTGCCGTCATTGCGGTGACGTGGCGAAGGCCGCTGTCCCCACATCGCCTGGGGTTTGAGCCGCGCGTAGGGCTGGGAGCGGGACGACCTCGGGGCCCTGAAACGCAGCGATTCTCGGAAGGCTCTTGTTGCCGTTGCTTCGGCCACCAGGAAATTCAGAATAATGTAACTTTCCCTTTTCCTGAGCCTTGCAGCCCCCCATGGTCCGTTTTTTAAATGCATTATTTTATGTTCTTCTGTGTATTAAATGAAATACAAACATATTTTTCATTTGTATTTTTCTCTGTTGAGCTTTTTTGGACAGATTGGGACATTAGCAAACAAAATGTGAATGACACGCTGTTCTATTATTATTTATTACGTGTTCGTTTTGATGGTTTCTGGTCTCGGCAATGGTCAGCCTGGGTTTTTCTGGATGCCGTTATATTTTCGGTTTTACTGTCCCGCCTCTGTTAGGATGCTGCCTGATGACCATGTGTCTGCCATTGGACAACAGGATATTATTCGTTTTGAAGTGGATGGTAGTTTATTTCCAATAAATGCAGTCGGGGGCCTCCCGCCACCCAGCCTGGTTCGGCCGGCGCCCAGGTAAACGTTCACGGCCGGGGCACGAGGTTAATTCATCAGCGAACAGAGCCTGGGTCTGGTTTAAGGATCCAAAGACACTGGCTCAGCTCCCATCCCCGAGGAATGAAACAGAGAAGGGAACCCGGGCAGCTCAGGGTCCTTCTGAGGCATTTGCTGGCACCTCATTGAATTCTCTTCACTATTGATGACCCGTGTTCCCGGCTCCGCGAGAGCCTGTCGCTCCCTTTGACTGATGTTTCACCTGCTCAGCACTTTCCGGGCCGCGCAGCGCTTCACGCTCGGCGGCTGCCCTGGCGGGCGCATCGGGGCC